GGCTCAGTGAATTCTTAATTTCTTTTTGATTGAAGTATAGTTTGACACATAACGTTACATTAGTTTCAGGTATACGTTGGTTTGACAAATTCTTTCCCCCTCATTTGAAAGTTATGAGAGATGACTAAAGAAAAAGACTGACAACATACAAAAATTAAAAGAGCAAAACACACCATTAGCAAAGCTAAGATATATTGGAAGGTATATTTGCAATGTATGTAACAAATGGTTTAATAGCCATAATTTATAAAGAGCTCTCAAAAATCACTAAGACAACCAAACATAAAAGTGGACAAAGGATGGGCGCCTGGGTGGCTCAGATGGTTAAGCGTCTGCCTTCGGCTCAGGTTATGATCCCAGGGTCCTGGGATCGAGTCCCGCATCAGGCTCCCTGCTCCTTGGGAGCCTGCTTCTCCCTCTGCCTCTCTCTCTCTCTCTCTGTCTCTCATGAATGAATAAATAAAATCTTAAAAAAAAAAAAAAGTGGACAAAGGATATCAATAGATAATTAACAGATGTAAAAGTGCAAATGTTTAATAGACTTCAAAAAAGGTGCCCAGACTTTAACTGACCACAAAGAAATGCAAATTAAAATGGGATTCCGTTTTTTTGTTTTTTGGGGATTTTTTTTTTTTTTTTTTTGCTTATCAGTTTGGCAAACACTAAAATACCGATGATATTAAGTTAAAGTGAGAGCACTGTTGGGGCGCCTGTCTGGCTCAGTTGGTTGAGGGTCCAACTCTTGATTTCGGCTCAGGTCATGATCTCAGGGTGGTGGGATGAATCCCCAGGGCAGGCTCTGCACTTAGAGGGGAGTCTGCTTGAGATTCTCTCTCCCTCTCCCTCTGCCCCTTCTCTACAACTCTGCTAACACCACCACCCCCCCCATGCTCATGCTCTTTTGCTCTCTCTAAAATAAATAAATAAATCTTAAAAAAAAAAAAAAGTGAGAGCACTGTTATACACCTGTTTGCAAGGCAGTTTGGCAGTAAAGATTTTCAATGACCAGTTGACTCAGCAGTTCCAGTTCTAGAATTCCCTGTCTGTATGTCTCCACCCCAAATACATACAGAGTATGTAAGAACAAATGTCCAAGGGTATTCATTATATCATTGTTTGGTAACATCTAGATGCCTGTCTACAGAAGAAAGGTTATACTATGGAACAATCATCAGAAAGAATAAGGTAGAACTATGTGTCCTGACATGAAAAATACATTGCTATCTATAGGTGTATTAGTTACCTATTTCTGTATAACAGGCACCCCCAAACCTAGCAGCTTAAAACAACAGACATTTATTTTAGAGTTTCCATAGGTCAGGAATCCAAGGGTGGCTTGGCTGAGTGGTTTTGGCTCAGGTTTTGGCATGACAGTGCAGGTAAGCTGTCACCTGGGGCTGCAGGTATCTGAAGCTCCAATGGGGCTCAAGAATCAGCTTCCAAAATCACTCACATGGTTGTTAGCAGGCACCCACCATGTGGGCCCCTCCACAGGTTGCCTGAGGGTCTCTATAACATAGCATCTGGCTTCCTCCCGGCTGAGTGACAGAAAGAAAGTTCCAGATGGAAGCTTCAGTCTTTTATAACCTAATCTCAGCAAGTGACACCATCACTTCTGCTGTGTCTTACTGGTCACACAGACCAGCCCTGGTACAACGTAGGAGGGATTGACCAAAGGTGTGACTACAAGGAAGCAAGGGATCTTGGGGGCTGACCTGCCCACAATACGCTTTTTAAAATAGTAAATTATACACAAATAGGTCGATGTCCTAATTTTATCATTTTTTTAAAAAGGGGATTATGTATGTATAAATAGATACGTAAGAAAACTAAAGATTTGCACTAGTAGCCAGCTCTGTGTAGTGGGGTTGGTATGGGGTTGGGGGCAGGGAATATTGAAGATAGCATGTTCAATTATTGTTCTAAAGTCTGTTTTCCTTGTACATACTATAATGGGAATGGGTTACTTTTACAATTAAAAATAATGAAATAAGACCATATTTCCTTCTCCAGGATGTCTTTTCTGATACCTCTTGAGAAAGCTGATTTTATTGTCCTCTTTATTGCTCTCTTGTTTCTGCCACGGGGCCCCACTGTTGCATAAGCCTCATTGTGTTGTCTCACCTGCACCTGTGAATCCTGAAGAACTCAGATGAGTGCTCATCTTTGAATTCTCTGTGGCTAACCAAAACTGCCTGGCCCCAAATACTCGCTCTATATGTTTGCCAAACGAATGACCTAAAGGATTTATTTAATGCCATCAATATGTATTAAGTAGCTCCGAAGATAATGGAGCTTGATACCAGTAGGTCAAATAGCTTTTTGACCTTCAGATCTACATTCTTGTTCAATTAACCTTGCTAAACATAGTATTCTTGTTTTTCCCATTTTTCTTTAGGAGCTCACCTAGTAATTGGTGTGGGAGATGGTATTAATTTTTTTTAAATGAAAGTCCTAATGGAAAAGAATTATATGCAATAAAGTAGAGAAAATGAACTGTTTTCATGCCAATGCAGGTTTCAAGTATTAAGCTAAATTTTCTTGCCTAAATGAGAAGGGTAAGATAGCTGAATCAGCCCCAAATCTTTTACCTAATGTTAGTATCACAAATGGAAGCAATTATAATTGCTGGCAGAAATGAATCATTCCAAAACTGGGTCTATGCAGACAGTTCTTTATTGTGTTCACTTAAGATGGCTTTTATTGGAATGGTCCCCAGAAGCAAAGATCTGTCATTCGCTGATTTCTTTAAAAAGTTAATCTTCAAGGTTTTTTTTTTTTAATCTGAGTATACTTTGTTTATATGCTTCTACTACACACATACACATAATGTGACCTGCTGCTTCAGACCCCATTTCCTAAAGAAAGAACATCACTTGAAAAACAGCCCATGAAATGGCCAATAGTGTGTAACCATAGCCGTTAGCAACAAAAACAAAGAATTTCCCAGGGAACCAGAAGCACGGGTTTCAGTAAATTGCTTTTCAGTGTTATTCCTGGAAAGTTGACACACTGAGCCATTTGCAAACATTTTCTTGAGTGTCCACCTGAGGGGGGCAGGGAGGTGGCCCTACTAGGCCCTGGGCAGGACTGGTTGAAACCTAGATCTCTCCCACCAACGTGAGCTCCAGCACATGCAAAACTGGCCCAGAATAAGGACTGCAGTGATGCTGCCAGTCCCTGGTGGAAATTATTTTTCTGCTCTGGTAAAAATAATCGCGGCTTCAATATCCGGGCTGGAAGTGCCGCGTTCAGCACAGAGGGGGGGGGGGGAGTATGGAGGAGAAAACAAAAGAATCACTAAAGAAACGGTTCGTGTATACTAGTTCGTGCAGCAGTTAAGGGCTAGGAGGTTGGGATCCCGATGGCAGTGGGTGGCTAGGAAAAGTGAAGGAAAGGGCGAGGTGGTGCGCTGCAATTTCAGGCTCTCTTCCTCGCTCCCAAACCCTGGCCAAGTCTGTAATTTTAAAGTAGCGCGAAAACTGAACTGTGTCTGGCTTTTAGCTGTGACCTCGGCTGAGCGAACCCCTTTGCTGCTGCTGGGTTTCCGTGTCCGGGCGTTACTTTCCAGGGAACGAAATTCAGATCGAAGGGTCACAGAAGCCTTGTGCCCGGAGAAAATAATTTCCTACTTTTCTTAGCCAGATAGAAAAACAGTTCTCAAGTCCTGCAGGACCCCCGGGAGGTAAGAGGTAGGGGTTGTCCCGCTCCCCAAAGCCGCCAACGACAGCCCCGCAGGCTGCGGTCGGTTCCCGGGATTCCAGAGAAAGCTACACCTAGTCTGCGCGGTCTTGGCCCCCGGGTTCCTGCCCCCGCTACGCCCTCCCTCCCCTGCCAACGCCCCCCGCCCCCCGCACCTCCCAGCGTAGCCAGTCGCTCCCCGCCCACCCGTGGTGCACCGTCGCCCCCGTGGGATCCCCCAGATCGGTGGAGGGTTCTCCCTCCAGAGACTTAGCTTCTGCTTTTATGCTTATTTCACATCTTTGCCCCACTTGAAACGTGTGCCCCTGCCTCCGCCCCCAGGCTCCGCAGTCCGGCGAGGCCAAGGAGCGCCCCCCCCCCCAAACTCCCCCAGAGCCACGCGAGTCATCCCAGGTCCCTCCCTGGAAGGCGCACGGACTGGAGAGCGCGCTGGCGGCCACGGGAAGAGGCCAGGCTTGGCGCCCTAAAGCACGCTGGGGTTGGTGTCCTGGGGCCGTGGGTTTCTCCAATGTGGGGGTGCCGGCGCGGGAGCATCAGGGAGCCCCGCAGCCGGCTGGCACCGACTTTTTCCCCTTTCCTGGCCGGCAGCTGGACAAGGTCCCGCGGCTGCGCCCGTAGGGACGGCGGATAGAAAAGCCGCTGAAGCTCGGGGAGGGAAGGGAAGGGTTGGGGCTGAGGGTGCTGTCACTTGTTGCGGCTAATAAGCTCGACCCTGGGGCGCTGTTGTTTCTACCATCTTTAGCTGTGCCCGAGATCCCGCAACCCGCGCCCCTGGGCTCGGCGCTGGAGAGAAGAGGCCAGCGGGAGTAGCTGGCCTGGCCGGAGGAGAGGGGGCGGCGCCCGGAGAGCCCGCCCGGATGGGCGCTGGGCTGCCGGAGAGGTGCGAGTCGGGTCCCGCTAGCGGCAGCTGCCCGGGCTTCCAGGAGCAGAGCGTCCGCCCTGGCTGGGAAACCGCGCGGGACACAACCCATTGCAGCTCGTCACATACTTACAGATCGCTGTCGCTAGGTTTCCCGCCACTCCTCTCAGACCAGCCCCCCACCCCTGCCACTTTTCGGAGTCCCCCGCCCTCGTCACTGCCTCCCGGGAGCTGCGGGGCAGTTGGACGCGAAGCGGCGGAGCCGCGAGGACGCCTGGCTGGAGCTGCCCTCTGCAGCGAGCCGGCGCCCCCTGCCCTTCGGCGCGGCGTTGGGCGGGCTCCCCCGCAGCCCTCGCTCGGCTGCTCGCGGCTCTCTTCCCGGCTCTCCTTCCGCAGGTCCCGGAGCTCCGCCACCACCGGGTACGGCGCGGCCGGCGCGATGCGGCAGCTGTGCCGGGGCCGCGTGCTGGGCATCTCGGTGGCTATCGCGCACGGGGTCTTCTCTGGCTCCCTCAACATCCTGCTCAAGTTCCTCATCAGCCGCTACCAGTTCTCCTTCCTGACCCTGGTGCAGTGCCTGACCAGCTCCACGGCGGCGCTGAGCCTGGAGCTGCTGCGGCGCCTGGGGCTCATCGCCGTGCCCCCCTTCGGCCTGAACCTGGCGCGCTCCTTCGCGGGGGTCGCAGTGCTCTCCACGCTGCAGTCCAGCCTCACGCTCTGGTCCCTGCGCGGCCTCAGCCTGCCCATGTACGTGGTCTTCAAGCGCTGCCTGCCCCTGGTCACCATGCTCATCGGCGTTCTGGTGCTCAAGAACGGCGCGCCCTCGCCCGGGGTGCTCGCGGCCGTGCTCATCACCACCTGCGGCGCCGCCCTGGCAGGTGAGCGGGACCCGCGCCCACCCCCGGCCCACCCCACCCCACCGGACAGAGACTGCGGGGATCACCTAGTGCAAGGCCCTCACTTCCAGATGGGGAGACTGAGGCAGAGAGAGGCTTGAATGTGGGTGCTCGGCTCGCAAACGGGACTTCTGAGACCACGCTGAGCCTTTCCCAGCGCTCCGACCTCCTCCTTTAGAGCGCACCCCTCCCCCCAGTCCGGGCTTCCGACCCCCGCCCCTGCCTAAACCGGTATCGCCCTCTCCACCTTCCCTTCCCCCTCCACCCGCCTCCCCTCTCCTCCGCCCTGCCTCGCTTCCTTCCTCCAGGAGGGGTGGGGGAGCCGCCTGAGCCTGGGAACTGGAGCCCCCAGGCTGAGTCGGAAGGAGGGGGGCGCTGAACTTCCCTGGGTCACGCGGGGCTGGAGTGGTGGGGGTCGGGGGACAATGGAAACCAAGCTTGAGCCGCGGAGGCTAGTTTGGGTCTCTGGCGCCGCGCGAGGTGCTGAGGGAGCGAGGCAGAGGGGGCCGGATTGAGCCCCACGTGAGGGCCGAGCTTGAAGGACTGAGCCCGAAGGGAGCCGGCGGGAACGGGAAACGGGTCGGGAGAGAGAGGCGTTCGCTCGGCGCCCAGTCCGCCCGGGGTAGAGGACAGTAGCTAGGGATCCCTCTTCCTTCCGGAGCCCCACGGAGAGGGCAAGGGTACCACGAGCCTGGTGACCTCCGTGCCTACCCCGAGGGCATCTGCGCTCTCCCGGGCCTTGGTCTTGGACAGAACTAGCCAGGGGGCCCCGGGGATATGGCAGGGAAGGCGCCTCCGATTATGCCTCGAACTGGGCATTGGCTGAACTTGGCTCTTGCGTTTTATACCCCTGGGCAGAGCTGGGACGCGAACCCTGGCTACTCACCAACCCTACGCGTTGCCCCAGTGAATACCCACCCTCGCCAACCCGGTGTCTTCTCTTTTTCCTTCTTGCCCTGGCTCCGCGGTTCTCCTGGGGCGCTCCAGGAGCCGGCGACCTGACCGGCGACCCCATCGGGTACGTAACGGGCGTGCTGGCCGTTTTGGTGCACGCCGCCTACCTGGTGCTCATCCAGAAGGCCAGCGCCGACACGGAGCACGGGCCGCTCACCGCGCAGTACGTCATCGCGGTGTCCGCCACCCCACTGCTGGTCGTCTGCTCCTTCGCCAGCACCGACTCTATCCACGCCTGGACCTTCCCTGGCTGGAAGGACCCGGCCATGGTCTGCATCTTCGTGGCCTGCATCTTGATCGGCTGCGCCATGAACTTCACCACGCTGCACTGCACCTACATCAACTCGGCGGTGACCACCAGTTTCGTAGGCGTGGTGAAGAGCATCGCCACCATCACAGTGGGCATGGTGGCCTTCAGCGATGTGGAACCCACCTCTCTGTTCATTGCCGGCGTGGTGGTGAACACCCTGGGCTCCATCATTTACTGTGTGGCCAAATTCGTGGAGACCAGAAAGCAAAGCAACTACGAGGACCTAGAGACGCAGCCCGGGGGCGAGGAAGCACGGCCAAGTGGAGATCAGCTGCCATTCGTCATGGAGGAGCTACCCGCGGAGGATGGAAATGGCGGGTCAGCAGGTGGCCCCACTCAGAGGAGTGGGCAAGAGGCGAGGGGCAGCCCCAGCGGAGGCCCGCAGGTGGCTAGGAGTTCGCAGAACACAGATGGCCCCGCGGAAGTGAGCAAGAGGTCATTGAAGGATGCTTACCTGGAAGTGTGGAGGTTAGTTAGGGGAACCAAGTATATGAAAAAGGATTATTTGATAGAAAATGAGGAGTTACCCAGTCCTTGAAAAGGAAATGCATGTATGTATATATGTACATACACTTATTTTGTATGTTAGAGATACCATATTTTAATGAGGGGCCGCACAATTTTATCCTTTGAGGAGTGGGGAAGGGAAGCAAAGAAGGAAGCTGAAAGGGACTGACAGCAACAGCGTGAGCACCTGTGTGAATTATTTAGTGTGAGTTTACCTGAGGCATCACAGAGACAAACAAGCGTGAAGCTTAAGGAAGGAACGCAGTGGTTCTGACTGCAGACTCCTGGCACATGAATTTTATGTCTTTATAACCATAACCAAATACCTGCATGTACTTAGAGTTCCTCAACCCACCCCCTCGGAAGATGGAGTATAGACGGGCTGCCCACACTGAATAAGCTCAAAGAGGACATACCCAGACACGTCTTCAGTGATAGCTAGAACTACAGGTTTTATGGCCAGTTGAGCAAGAGTGTATTATTGAAATAATACATATACATCTATATATACTGAATTGATGTTTACTGTTTATAATCATCTGAAACATCATGTTTACTCTAATCTTTCTTCACTTTTTAAAAAAATAAGTACTCTATTATTCTATTATATATTGGTAGAAAATGTTAAAGCTATTTTGAATATATGAGTTCTTAGCTTTAAGCCTGAAGTTAAAAGTTGGCTTTTAGTAATTATAAAACCATTTCAAAGGTTGTTTGGGTTCATTGCCTCATAATATTTATTACTGAATCCCATAACCTTTTGAAAAGCCAGTTTTACTGTGTCCAATATTCTTTCAAGCAAATGCAAAGGCTGAACAATAATTCGGTATTAACTGAAGTCCAAACAGAAGTGAGTCCATCCAGTTAAGCTTGCTCTTTCGAGTCACACTGCACATCCCAAACCCTGTTACAAAAACAGTAACGGCAATATTCACTCTATGATATTTTTCTATCTTACATTTGTCAAAATAAAGTTATGAGTCTATCTGCTAAAAGATACAGTGTTATAAATTTGTTTCAGGCACATTTATGTTCTATTGTTGCTGGGTAGCTTGCCTTAGTCTTCAATGTGTGATGTCCCGTATCTGCTATGTAGGGGCCACCGCATAGAGAAGTTCTTAAATTAGCAGGGCAGTTTACTTTAAAACAACAACAATAACAACCACAAAAACATTCCCATTTTCCAGTCAAGGAAACCGTTATAAAGTAAAATAAAATGGCTGCCTCACGCTGCGCTATGAAAGCCATCACCGCTGACGTCAGTTAACATGGAGCCTGAGATGTAATGGGAGAGTGCATGCAGAGGGCCGTCTTTCTTTCAGCCCCCTCCAGAGAGGTAATTTGAGAGAAGGCACTTTTATTATTTTTATTATTTTATTATTATTGCCAGCATGTTCTGGAGACTCTCAGATGGTAGTATCCTGTATTTTTCTTTATTTTCAAAAAACGAAACAAAACAAAAAGCAGAGTCAAAAATGGATGTTTCGGCTTCATCAGGTTGGCCCTACAGGCTGGTGAGCAAGAGTCGATGTGGCGGTTTGGGATTGGTGCTGGGTTCCTGGTGGTCACAGGCAGTCCATTGTTTCCACAGGTACCTCTCCAAGCCATTGGAGATGTAGGAGCCCTTGTGTGTCTGCAGTTAAAAATGGTTGGCTAGGGTTAGAATGACTTCCTTAAAAATAAGAATTAATTTTGATGTCAACATGCGAGGAGACCACGTCCTGTTGCACCTCTGTGAAGCAGAGAATGAAAAGCAGCAAAGTTGAATGGACAGCATGGTTGTTTTTCACTGAAAAAATTCCTTTTGGGCCAAAACTGTGGGTTTACATTTACTACAAGAAGATGAACTCTTTCCTCTCTCTGTAGAGACACTATATAGTTAGAGTTCTCCAGAGAAACAGGACCAAGAAGATGTGTATATACATATATACACACAGGACCAAGAAGATTATATCTATCATATCTATCTATCATCTGTCTCAGAGAGAGATTAGGGAGTTGGCAATTGTGGGGGTTGGCAAGTCTAAAATCTGTAGGGCAGGTTGGCAGGTGGGAAACTCAGGTAGGGTTTTTATGTTGCAGTCTTGAGGCAGAATTGCTGCTTCTGCAAACCCGAGTCTTTGTGCTGCAGGCCTTCCACTGATTAGACAAGGCTCACTCACATTCTGGAGGGTTTTCTCCTTTATTCAAAATCTATGGATTGTAACTATTAATCACATCTAAAAAACGTCTTCACAGCAGTAACTAAACTACTGTCTGAGCAAACACCTGGGCACCACAGCCTGGCCAGTTTGTCACATAAAAGTAACCATCACAGGCACTTATGGTAGGAGGGGACAGTGGGGAGTGTGCAAGGATGGGAAAACCCAGGAAGATCAAAAGTGTCTGTCACATCCATTGGTTTGGGCCAAGCTTGGGAGTCTCTACGTGGATGAAGAAAGTGAGTCATAAGGCAGGGCAGAATGTGAGTCAGTGCCTGGAGCTCAGCCACAGCAGGGCATGAGCAGGTGGCAGGCCTTGCCTGGCTTCTGAGTCCTTCTATTGACAGTAGCACTTCGGCCCACCTACAAACTCAGGTCCACTCTGACCTTCAGGCTCTGCCAAGGCCTTGAGTCAGGAATGAAGCTTCTGAGGCACTCCAGGATATTACGGTGGGAGGGACTCAACTGGAAGTCACCACTGTTGCTTGACTGACCTGGTGTTTGTGCCCCATTTCAGACGATGTGGAGTCTCCTTTTCTCGGAGGTCGTGCCCTCACCTTGCATGTAATTGGGCATCTTGTCCCTGCCTTCACAATCTGTTCCTCTATCAATTCTTCACACACTCACTTGCCATTTCTTGACTGGAATCTGTCTGTGGAACACAGCATGATGTCAGTCAGACCTTCTCAGTGCTCCCCCTGCTGTTGGCCTTGTCCCCTAAATGCCGTCTAGCCCTCTATTATTAATTGAGGCAGAGATCATCCAAAACACTGGGGGAGTCATTGCCCAGAACGTGCAGGTGAGAGTGGGTGTGTGTGCTATTGGGTGGTGGAGCCGAGCTCAAGCAGTGGCCTAAACTTCTGCAAGATTAGCCATCCTGCAAAGGTGGTCACGTGTTAGCAGAGGGCCTAGTCGTCTGTGCGATGAATAGCAATACTTCATGCAGACAAAGCTGGGTAAAACTTAGAAGTTCTCAACTGACTGATGACTTATTTTGCACTTTAGTTTGGGAAGTTTCTATTGACCTATCTTCAAGCTCACTGATTCTTTTGGGGGGCGTGTCCAGTCTACTGATGAGCCCATCAAAGTCAATCTTCATTTCTTTTTTTTTTTAAGATTTTATTTAGTTATCTGTCAGAAAGAGAGCGAGAGAGAGAGCACTAACATAAGCAGGGGGAGTGGCGGGCAGAGGGAGAAGCAGACTCCCCGCTGAGCAGGGAGCCCAATGCCGGGCTCGATCCCAGGACCCTGGGATCCTGACCTGAGCCAAAGGCAGACACTTAACCAACTGAGCCACTCAGGCGCCCAGCAAAGGCTTTTATTTATTTTTTATTTATTTTTAAAGATTTTATTTATTTATTTGACAAGAGAGAGACACAGCGAGAGAAGGAACACAAGCAGGGGGAGTGGGAGAGGGAGAAGCAGGCTTCCCGCTGAGCAGGGAGCCCGATGCGGGACTCGATCCCAGGACCCTGGGACCATGACCTGAGCCGAAGGCAGACGCTTAACCCACTGAGCCACACAAGTGCCCCTCGTTCTTCATTTCTGTCACAATGTTTGGTTTTTTGAAACTCCTAGAATTTCCTTTTGATTCTAAGAGTTTCCATCTCTCTGCTTAACTTACCCATCTACTCTCGTATTTGTCTACTTTTACCGTTAGCTCCATTAGCACATTAATCATAGTTATTTTAAATTCCCTGTCTAATCATTCCAAAGCCTGTGTCGTATCTGAGTCTGGTTCTGATGCTTGCTTTGTCTAGTGAGACAGGCTTTGTCCTTGGCTGTTTAACTTGCCTTATAATTTTTTTTTTTTTGAAAGCCAGAGGATGTATGGGATAAGAGGACCTGAGGTCAATCAGCGTCTAGTGTGAGATTTCATGTTCATATATCTACAAGGTGCTCTGTTTAATGTTTGCTGAAACCGTGGGTGTCAGAGGCTTCAGATTCTTCTAGTGTCCTTGCTTTTATCTTCTTGTTGTCTTTGGGCTTCCTCCTAAGATAGACTCTGATGCTTCTCAGAGCTTTTGGCTGTAATTCACCCTTATTATACTGGAGACTTGTTGGTGTGCTGGTAAATGGTAGGGGAGGGAAATTGTTCTACAGTCTTAGTGTTCTTCACTTCTGCATAACAGAAATTTCTTCCACTTCTGGGTTTTATCCTCCCATGTTCCTACTATGAAACCCATAACTTTCATGTTAACCTCCAAGGAATAATTGCTGACCTGATTCATTTGTTACCTCCATCTCTAGATACCACAGTCGGTCTGCCAGGCTAGACTTCATTATAGCATCTGGTACCTTCTCCCTGGCCACACCCCCCTCACCACCCTTTACACACATAACAAGTACTTCTGATTCTGGGTATATTCCTCTCTGAATCTGTTCTCTCCTGTTTCCGAGAGAAAATAGCAGGGTTTGGAAGAAAGCTGGTGAGCAGAACAGAGTAGAACGTAGAATAGCAGGATGCACAGCTAATAAAATGAGCCCCCAAATCTCCCATGGGGAACCATCCCCTCCTGACTTCTGGTTCATGTAATTCAGATAGTGTTGACTCCATCCTTCTACCCTCAGTGTGTGACTCCAGCCAATCCAACCAAAGCATTTCCTCCACTTGGAAGCACAATTAGTTCAGGATGGTCATGGGACCTGGTCAGAGTTGATGAAGTGCAAGGATACTTTTGGCAAGACTTAAGTATGTTTTTTTCTTACTGGACTTGAACCTAGGAGTATGGAGTGGAATGGGGCCAGATGTGCTGTTACCATCTCACCACAAGGAAAAGATACAATGGAAAGGAAACAATACAGAGAGTCCAAGTGGACCGGAGAGGTA